TAGAATAATAGCTTTAATAATGTAGTATATATAAGTGTTTCACCAATTATTTTTTTTGACACATGGTGACAGCTGTCATTTCGCTATCAATTAAGAAATTAACGTAACTCATCCCATAGAGAAACTACAAATTCAGAAAATTGTTGATCAACAATTCATATAATTGAAACAAAATTATTTTTATTTATTAATCAATGTTTGTGATTAAAATGTAAATAATTAATTAATTATTAGGAACTCTTTACCCCGAAGCATTTACTTTTTCCAATAATTTATCAATAATTGTTTTAATTAAAAACATTGTGATAATTCTCAATTAATTATTCTATTATATGTAAATAATGCTTAATGTAGTTTTGTTAAAAACTGTTTGTGAAGGAAATATTGAAAGTTCCTGAATTATTATAATCAACTGTACGATTCGCATTTAGAATCGCACAAAAAGCATTTACGAAATGAGAATTATCTCCAGTGATGCAAGGTAGTAAAGATGAATTTGCTACGATTATTATGTTGTCCTGCTTTTCGTTTACGTATAAATAGTGTGTTTTTTGTTTGTTTGTTTGCATGAATAGAAGAGAAGTTTTCGTTGCATAACGACGAGTAAGTGATGAAAATGAGGCTTATGTAAATGCAAAAATATGGGTTTTTTATTCGTTCGCTCCGCTAAAGGAATCACAGTAAAATGCGAAACTTAAGTGACACGTCTTCATATGCACTTAAGCGAATAATATTTATTTATACATTTGATGTAATGATGCGACTGAATATTATTATGTCTTTAAATAATTTTTAATTGAATTATACCGTAATTAATTATGTTAATTATATATATATATATATGCTAATTAATAATATTAAGTAATTGGATTTAATGAGAATAAGTGCATAACATTGAACAAATTACTCAATAAATATTTTTATAAATCCCTGATCAGAACTAATTTATTTAATTAATAATAAACATAATTTATTGTACAAATTATTACATTTCATAAATTTTTAGAACAGTAATACCTCGTGTTGCTTCGTTCAGTGCGGATTCACTATAGTCAATTAGCACACATAATTAGACTTATTTTATACACAGACGATCGGTTTTCCCATTGACAGTTCTCTTTTTGTGCGGTTTTAAAGTCGTCGATTAGTCCGGCTTCAAACAGTCCGGGATATTCGAAATACTCAGTAACTGTTAAAGTACTTATATTATTTTTTTTTATCGATGTTTGAATATAAATGCGATAATTTCTTCATCAGATAATTCCACTATGTGTTAGATAAGATTCTTATGGAATAAGGAAATGCATCATCTATAGTTGGATATACAGAGTCAAGAACAGTAGAATGACTATACAAGTAAGAAACGCCTTATACTCGTCATTTTACGATCGTGACATATGTACAAAGAACGTAATTATTTACTACGAAAGGATACACTATTCATTCATATTCATCATTTCATTTATAAAAGTTTCATAGCATGTCATTTGTCACTACATCAATAATGCTTAATATTTAGAGTAATGTTTGCATAGAGCTAAATGATCTTATAAACAAAATAGACCTACGTGAACCATATATCGAAGATATAATACATAACTTCCTACATTTAAAAAAAAACAATTTACAATCACTTGATTTTAACATTGTCATACAGCTCAAGGGCTCAAGTTTAAAACCACGATCAGTAGTGAAAGTAGAGCTAAATTTAGTACTTAGTCTTTTCATCTTGTATAATTTATTATACAACAACGTTTCCTCTTGCGCTTTTCATTCGCACTTATCTAAATATTACTCCCATTTCCAGGTTTTAAAGACATTTGAATAACTAATTGCTATAAATATTATATAAGATTATTTATTACATATATATTTATTACTTACGCGGTTTTTGACTTACACTGAAACTTTTGAAACAAATTATCCGCGTAAGTCGAGGACCAAATCAACTAAATTTCGTTTCCGAATATCTCATATAAATCATATAAATAAGCAATCTTTACAAATCTCTATGTCCATGATTGCAATATGAAATATATATTATTTTTACATATAACACCATTATTGATTAATTCTATAAATTTATGTTTATAATCCATACATTTATATTATTATCACATAGCAAGACCGCAATCAATAATACTTTTAAATTGTAAGAATGTCATAAATATCATATTTTTATAAATATATCGTATATTTGGAATTAGTATAAACTTTATATATAACATACGATTATCCTCTATTTTGCAATGAGAGAATAGTATCCATTGGGAATGTTTATGAGCGTAGTTTTACAATTTATAACTAGTGGTGTAGCGTGTTAAGATTTGCAATTTCACGGCGTTTGCCATGTGGAGTAACTAGCAAGCAATAATAATATTACAAATGGAATGTGGGCTTTCAGGTTACACACATTTGTATAATTATTTAAATGTTAAACAATTTCTGGTACATCTCGTATTGAAATCCAACGCATTTCTTAACAATTTAAATATTTCTTGGAATCTTAGTATATTGTATTTCTGTTAAGAAATTTAAAATTTCAGCAAAATATGTCTAATGTAATGCACCTGTTTGCCAATTATAATAATTAGAGAAAAATATTATATCTACTTTAATAAACAACAAAGGTAATGTTCATCGAAGTAATTAGATTTATTACGATTATTAAATGGTAAAAATTATCAACTATTAATTAATTATAAGTGATATAGTTTTCTCAGTAACTTCATTCTTGAGATAAATTAATATTAAAGACTTTTTGATTGCAATTTGATCAATATTCACTTTTTTTATTTTATTATCAATCTATAACAAACAAATCTAAATTTATATGAAAAGTTCAGAATATTATTTGTTCGTAATAATATTGTTTAGATACAATTGTAGATTTTTTAACAAAACAAATAAATTTATAAAAAATCGAAATTACCTATCTAATTTAACTTAACTTTTAACTAGTAACGCACTAAAATTTCTATGAACTACTCGCGCGGCGTATTTTATACACCACATCTTATGTCAGACAAAGTGCCAAAATGATTGTATTACGACAAGAAAAACTTTTTCAAATTAACTAATGCTTTTTTATTAGATTCATAACTATTTGTAATACATTAATACATTTCTGAATCAGAATTGTCGTTATTGCCCTCTCTCTATATAAGGGAGAGTAGAAGTATCAGCATTGTCCGCTAATACACCAACACTACAGAGCAAGAATAAACATGCACAAAAACAACTTCTATGTGCTGCAGTCAACACAATTTTACACCAGTATTTAGTAACCACTTTGGGCATAAGTTGCATTAAGTGTCATAGATGGATGAAAGAAAATATGATTTCTAAGAAAATTGATGTACTTTTTATACCGGCGTGAGTCGTTAAAGGTTAATTAATATTTTCTACTTACAAATATTATAAACGCTGAAAGTAATTCTATTTATCACGTACATAAACATGGACGTAATAAATCAATTTAAATCTCAAACGAAATATTAAAATCCAAAATCACCTTTCTATAAACTTACATTCTACTTTAACATTCCCAAATTACAAAAAAAATCTTGAAATTACCTTCCGCATTTGTCATAAGTATGTTATATTGACCAATTATCATTAGAAAAGTTCAAACGATCAACCTATCACCGGTATAACGAAGATGCACTATGTATTATCGACAGAATAATTCCTCTCTCCAATGGCCATTGAAATGTCAAACTGTTAGAGCAAGCTCTTTTCGATAAATGGAAAACGCTAGGTGTTTGAAATATTTTAAACAACATTTCTAAATTGTCAACAAGTGGAGATTTTCCGAACCCTCTTAAGTGGATGAGACTCATTTTCTTGTCATTTCACGAAACGAAAAGCGAAATGAGATGTACGGAATGGAAAGTTAATTGCAACTACAATGGCAGTGAAAAAGCAGCAAAAAAAGTAGTTCTTGCTTCTGAGACTTGGGGAGCGCGAGGAGAAAACATTTCATAAATCACGTTTCATCATCAGCTTTATCTTCACTTATGCAGCGCACATGAATATACTACACCTAATACCTTCTTTATATGCGAATGAACTTTCAACACAACCACCTGAGGCAACCGGGTGAAAGTTTCATCTCGCCGCTACATAAAAAAAGATAAAGAAGAAAAACAAAAAGGATCATCAACGTAAAGTAAAATGAAAAGCCGCGGGAATTAATAGCTCGTCATTTATTCATGACCTAGTCTAATTTAATGCTACAAATAGTTTATTATATACTAATTAATGTTTAGCTTCTTTTTAATTTTGTTTGATCTGAAACATACATTTTTCAATACTGTATCTAGGTTAACTTTAAATGCTAGATGAAATAGGTTTGCGTGTGAATTGAAATTAATGAAATTTTCTTTTTTTTGAGGTAAATTGTACGTTCTGACTTGAGCATTATGAAAGGATTGAACTTAATTTTCAAAATAATGTAAAATATTCCTCATTGCGTGTATGATATGCATCTATACGGTTGTTAAGTAATGGGAATGCATTTTGTAATGAGATATCATAAATACTTGCAATATAAATAAAAGTTATGCATTGATTAATTGAAAAATTTAATAGCACTTCTTCTCTTAGGTCTTACGCAACGAATGATTGCGGGAACGGTTGGACAATAGAGATTTATTGCTTCTTATTTTCAAAACTAAAAATAGAATAAGCCTCGATAAATTGAAAGGCAATTAAATGGCAAAGGTTCTTTGTTTGATATCAAATAAAATAGAGTATGAGATGTTGCATCACTGGAATACTTTCACTCGTTTATATAGAATCTCGTCTTGGTTGTAACGGTCAAAAAATCGCTTGAATAAATAGGTCTCCAGTTTTTGTTTGCTCTTGCAATTCACCTCTCTTTATGTAAGAGATGATAAATAGAATGAGCGTAACAAACAATTAAATGCAAGCAATACTTTTACTTTTCCCCATCTCCGCCTGTTGCTCAACACTAATTATATCTATTTGCCTTTCAGAACTTTGACCAGCAGAGGATCCTGACTCCGCAACAGCAAGGCCTAATCTTGAGCGATGTCCGACAACATCAGCATAGGTTCAACTCACCGCAGCAGTCCTTCGCACCAACGCAATTCTCAAGGCAGCAATTTAACCAGCAGCAATTCCCTCAGCAAACGTTCCAACAGAACTTCCAGAATACGCAGGTCGTGCCCACTGGTCAAGCTTTACCTAACCAACCCTTCCAGCCAACGGCAGCAACTAGTCAAGGCAATCGCCAGATCGTCCAGCATCATACTCAGACAAGCTTCATGCCTAACTTCAATCAACCTATTCAACAACAAAATCCAGCACCGACATTTGCGACCAACCAACAAATTGATCCTGAAAAGCAAAAGCAACGCATTAGGGAGTTAAAAGAGAAGCAAGCCATTATTGATAAACATAACCAATTCGTCGAGAAACAATACGAGAAGGCCTTAAAGAAAGCACAAACCGATCATACCGAATTTATAGAAAATCAGAACGAGCAAAAGAGAAAACTATACCAGACCCTTTTCAAAACCTCCAATGGTTATAATACGCTTAGATATCATCAAACCAACCCGAGATTTATTTACCCTGAAGAAGCTGACCTCTTTAAATTGGCTGTGCAAAAATATTACGAAGAACATCCTACATCAACAACTACCACAACAACGACAACGACCACGACCACACCTAAACCTACAACCACGACACAAAAACCAAGACCATCAACCGCAAGATCTATTAAAGAGAGAGAAGTTGAAGATTCTGAAATCTTTTTATCTAACGAAAACTCAAGACTATTCGGGCAAATCAAACTTGCCACTCAGAATAAGGAATCTGCGGCTACAAGCAACAAAATTACATTCTTACCAACGGCTATTCCAACAAGAAATTCAGTGCAATCAATTCAATCTCTCGAAGATTTAACCATCCTTCAGAAGCAATATAAAAATCAAGAGATTAAAAAGGACGATTTATTGGCTCAACTGAGGTTGGCAATTGGAGAAAATGCGGAAGATGAATTAAGCAAAAATATTACGTCTAGAGAAATTTCTCTACCAAATGGACAGCGGGTGGAGATTATCAGGACCACTGATCCTAAACTGATTCCAGGTGCTAAACCCTTAGATCTTTCCACATTGGGAATTGATAAACCCCAACCATCGACAGCTAAACCACCTAAAGCGATTCTCGAAGAACTGACCAGAGGCGTTTTACCACCAGGTGCTAATTTTGAACTCTTGAGGGAAGGCAATGCTGGTTTGGAAACCGTCGGTGGATTACCTCAAAATCTACCGAACCAGAAGAAGGTCACATTCGTGTTGCTCGAGGAGCAAAATGATGGAAGTTTTAAAGTGCAGGGTGTTAAGGGCAATACAAAGGATAAAAGTGAAGTCGATGTGGATTCGATTTTAAAGAAGATTAAAGATGGTGAAATAAAATTACCGCCAAACACAAAAATTCAAGATATTGTGCCATCAACCGAAATACCAACAACTACTACAACTACTTCCACTACTCCGGCAACTACGACCACAACTACTACAACCACTCCAAAACCGATTTATTCTTCGACAACTGTAGGACCACTGTCAATCAGCATTCAACCTAATTCTATTCCTCCATATTTCGATGATGACTTAGTAAGCACCCCTATATTGCAAACGAATTTCGGTACGCAATTTATTTCCTCATCGACACCATCACTTTCTTCTTCCACCTTCTTTCCAACAACGAATGAGATCCGAAGCAGTACAACCACTAGATCAATCTCAGCTTCTCCTAAAAATCTAGATTTCGATTCACTTCGTTTAAGTCCAAGCTCATCAAACGATTTAGTAAGGCAAGCCTCCACTGCTGCTACTTTGAACCAAAACTCGCTCTTCAGTTCACCTCAACCAACTAACCCAACGTATCCGTCGAGCAGTGCGATTTCTATCTTCCAAAATCCTTCTTCAATATTACCAACTGTAACCACAACGACTGAACAGCCGATAGCACTAGAATTACCGGATGTGCTTAAAAAGAACGGCCTTTTCGCAATGGCTAGATTCTTGCGACAATCTGGTTTAGATACTATATTAAATGAGACCGGTCCATACACCATCTTCGTACCTACAGACAAGGCGTTCAGGACGTTGCTTGTTCAACTCGGAGGTCCGGAAAAGGCCGAAGAAAAATTCAAGGAGAATCCAAGATTGCTCAGCGGTGTAAGTAATTTCATTTCTATATGATGAATATTTTATTCATTTAAAAAATCTTTAAATTAGTTACTCTTGCATCACGTCATACCTGGAGCATTCAAAATCGACACGCTGCAAGATGAGATGACCGGAGTCTCCTTGGCTGGAACACAATTGCGTGTGAATCAGTACAACATGCATGATATGGAGTGGAACGACATTAAGGTAATTTCATGACTCGTTAGTGACGATAATTTGATCATACGGTTTCCCTTTCAGATAACGACTATTAATGGTGCTAAAGTAATGGACGACAAAAAAGATATAGAAATTCCTCAAGGCATCGCACACTCTATTGATAGGGTAATGTTCCCCTTACCAGTAGGAGATTTGGTGCAAACTCTGCAATCGGATAGGGAAAGAAGATTCACTAATTTCTTGAGGGCACTTTTTGCTTCGGGTTTAGCCGAAACTTTGCAAGGTAATCACATTATTATTTTAAAAAAATATCTCTTTAATCACTTTCTAATAGGTACCAAGACGTTTACTCTCTTCGCACCAACCGATAAAGCCTTTACTGGATTGACCAGCGAAGAATTGACGAGGACAGTATCGGACAGGACGCTTGCCAGAGAACTGGTAATGAGGCATCTCACTCCAGGAACTTTGTACACGAACGGAATGCGTTACTACCAAATTAGGGACAGTCTTGAGGCAAACCGACAGATAACACTCAGCAAAAGCTCAGGTAAATATATAAAAAGTATAATCCTTTATCCCATTGGCTTTCCAATGCAATCAGCGAGATTGGCAATCAATTAGAAATCTTGTGCGTTTCGAATGAAACTGCTCTTCTTTTTTTGTATATAGATATATTTTTGTAACTCGCGTTTAAAATTCCTTAAAATCTTCGAATCCATTGGCCAACGCATCATCATCGTCCAAACAAGTGGGTTAATGAGAGGTTCTTCGGTAAAATCCATTTTGCAATGTTTTCGGCTCAAAGGAATTTAAAACTGAAAATGGTCGAGAAAAGATTACTCAAAGTGTTTCTATTTTCGAAATTTGTGCAATAACCGTTTCTGTATACCGCTCGATATTACTTGATGTCGCAGTAAAACATCGGCTTTTAGGTCTCACGCTTTAAGGAATTTCCGTTTCCTCTCGGAATCGAACAGATGCGAGTTGTATAGATAAACCAACGATCGTTTTTATATTTATAAGATATCGGTTATAATGCCAGATCTAATAGTAGTGCTTGTTATTACACTACTTCCGTTTCCGCTTATCTACTATTCGATTCGAAGATAATACGAATGGTCAGCAAACAATTGTGCAATCGATTTTTGCCGGATTTCGTAAGTTGCCTCCTTGTAAGGACTCGTCGACATTTAAGCTATTTTGAAACATCTTATTTGAACGTCCTTTCTTCTGTTTGCTTTTCTTAAATCGCATCTAGGTTCATTTGAGATTCAGTGAAAGTACTTTCAATGGCCTCTTAAAATTAAATCTATTATGAATATTTGAAAATTACATGCAGGATAATCAAGAGAAATTTGCCATATCCAATTAATGTATTAATTATGAAAAGTATCATTTGCTATATACGTTTTATCAAATATTTAGAGGTGTTATTAGGTCAAAAACGAAAGGAATATTTACCTATGCATGCATACATCTTAACTTAGCTTGTCTTCCAAATGCTATTATTTTTTTGTTTGTTTCCCACTTGTACACAATCGGTGAAAGGTTCCAGAAACTCCCATTGCTTTTCCTATATTTTCATCAATCCCATATATAAATATCATATGTCATGGAGCAGCCTCTGATATTATTTTACTTTGCAAATGTAAGCAGCGTTTCCTCGAAACGAACGTATTACCTGAGTTAACCTACTTGCGATTGGTGAACGGCAAAATGCAATTCCTCTTTTAATCTAATTACAAACCGGATGAAGAGAATTGCTGATTCTTGCCAATAAGATGAGCGCAAAGGTTTTTGACCTCACTAAAAATTTGAATTGTAATTAGAAAGAAAGAAATAAAATGAAAGTTAGCGCCGAAAATATATCGTACGTTCATCTATTATGAGAAAGTAAAATAAAATGTCCCACCTTTTTTAAAGACGATCTTCGAAACAAAACAACAACATGAAGACAAGACAAGTGTGAACCAGACGACGACGTTCTCATAGTCATCATTTTTGCGGCATGTGTTTTCTGCAGATTAATAAATAAAGGCTCGTGTACGCGTTCCGGAACGAAAAGTGAAACTTAGCAAGATGATGAGGCTCGTCTGCCGTTATTGTCGCATTTTTAATTCTCTCGTTCACTTTCGACGAATTCCTTCAGTAAACCAATATCGACATGTCTCTTGATAAGTTCTTTAAGAGAAATTTTATCATTCAAATTATAACATTTAAATGCAAATTATGAACTGTATCTTTAAGCAATGGCCTTTTAAATTACTGCAAATAAATACGAGACTATCGGTTCTACTTTAAATATGGAATTACTTAATTACTAAGCAATTAATTGTGCAATTATAGATCATTTTCATTAAATTTAAACCAGTAAATTTGGCTTTTTTAATTTAACATTATTATTTATTTACGCATTTTTATTGGCACCAATTTGAACGAAAATATTGAGTATATAAAATATTTTTATTGTTAAATGTTTTAGGCATTTATTCGTTTTCGTGACAATATCAATCTCCGTATTGATTTTTCCTCTTGGAGAAAGTCTCACACTCAGATGACTTTAATTATCATTAAATTTCAGTAAATAACGATGTTATAAACCAACATTAGAGATAGTGGAGAAATTCATCTGTTATTTTCAATAAATATAAAAGTCTAGTTATTTTTTAAAATAAAGAAAAATCAAAATTATTTTTTAAGAATATTTTCACTTATAATATAATTTATAGTAATAACGAATGCATTATATTGCAACTAGACATATTGCAATGGTTTAAATTTAAAAGATTAAACTGGGAAAATATTAGTCATGTTTTTAATAGTACGTAACAAGAACGCTTTCGGAATACTCAAGTTTTCCTATGCGGTAATCCGCCTAAGCAAACGTTTATAATCGTCTTTGTAGAATATGATAAGCGCAAGTTAATAATCTTGTTCCAAATCATAAATCACTGTAACAATCGGTGAGCAAAGCTACTATCCATTATTGTTACTTTCGATAATTGCAGAGCAATTATCACTAACGTCCATAGAAGCATTTATAACTAGATTTTGTTTAACAGCGATTAAGATAATTAAAACATACAAAAAGTAATAATAATTATTTATAAAAAAAAACACAAACACGGAAAGTGTGAATACATTAGAAGTAAATTTATTAACATTACCTTTCTAATTGTCTATAAAGACTGTGAACCTAACGTTATTATAATAATATATAATTGTAATCAGGTTGAGCAAATTTCAATTTTTTTAATTAATGATAACGAGAGCATCATTTGAATCTATTTAAAAATGAATACATTTACAATCTTGTAATGATAATTTCTATTCTGTTTCAGGTCGCATCAAGGTGAATAACAACTCGATCGTAACGCAGAATATTCCATCGACGAATGGTGTCATACATGCGCTAGATACATTACTTTAATCCCTTTCCAATCACTTCATACACTCATCTCTTTCGACAATTAATTCTCTCATTTCATTCTCCTTTCACATGACCACATTTTCTTTGAATAATCTTATTTTATTATATAATTAATTTATATTTTTTGCAAATTTTGTTAATTGTATTTTTTTTATATATATATACTTGCGTTATTATTTTTCTATTTAGTTATATGTACATAGATTACAAACACAAAACAAAAATGTATTCTACGAACTGTTTTGAAAATAGTTATTTTATTTGTATTATATTATTATTAAATGTAAATAAATATTGAAAAAAAAATAGAAACAATTGTTAATGTTTTCGTTTCGTTTGTCAGAGGATGCCAAATCAATAATTTTATGGCGAACTTTCACAAGGTTTCACTTTGTTGGGAACAAGGAGTAGAAGAAAGAAGCACAGTTTCAATATTTTATTGTTATATTGACATAATTGTTTCTTCTTAATGGTAAGTTAATAAAAGTATTATATATATTTTTTTTCAGTATTTTCAAATTAATGTTCTAATCAACAAGTTCTACTTATAACATATCCTATAGATTTCGAATATTGACTCGGCCTTAACAAAGAACAAATAGACAGGCTCCGGAAATCGTTTAAAATTGATCAATTCATCTTAATCAAGTGCACATTTTAGATGCACGCAAGTCCTGCTTGTATTGCTATGTAAGATATAAACGTTAATTATTGTAAGCAGTGCTTGACTACATTAATTGCACAATATATTGACTATGTTATAATATCTAAATTAAGGAATATAAATTTCTCTTCTTTTTTAAATACATAAAATATATAACATATAAAATAAAAAATACAGGAACAACGTTCGGTTCATAAATTAATTCGGGAATTTCAATATCAAAACTTTTCATTTTCTAGAGAGCTCTGAGAGGAAGACTTTAAAAACGAAAACAATCTTCAATTTTATCGGGAATCGTCGATTCCAATTGAATTTACATCTTTTTATCCAATCGATGATTCTTTTCAAATCCTTTTACGAACCTTCATTATTGCCTTTTATTTGGATGGAGTTTGTAAGAGGATTGGTGTTATCAAGATCTGGCATACTACATAACATAAAAAAAACAACTGAAATAATAAAGAGTATTTCTTAGGGAGATAATAAGCTAGTTGAGTTTTTAGTTAACACACATAGAGGAGAGGAATATTGAAATTGGGTGGTGCTATTCGTGAAATTATTATGTTATTACATGACAGAGAAATTGGAATCATCGACGGGCGCCATAATAGACACAGATGTGAAAGAGGATGGGGATGGGGCTCGAGTATTGTTAGGCACAGGCGGTTCCATGTCTTCGCTGTTAATGCGCAGCACGGGTCCGGGTTTTGCAATACTGAAAAGCCAATACTTTAAGAGCAAACCATCACCGAAAGCATCTCCAAGTTTTACCTAGACAATTCCTGCTGCAGCTCAGTCATAGCGCTGCTGCATTGTGCATAGAACCTTGCTTGCGTTTCCACGAATTCTTGCAGACATCTCAGATGTGCCGCATGGGAACTACTAACACCTTCCAAGAGAAGTTTCGTGATCTCCGCCTGTCTGTCGAACTCGGATTGGGCAACGCGCAAATCTCTTTCAGCCTAAAAACAAACATATCTCTCTAATAAGTAACCTAAGTTTTATTTCTATACAACCGCATTAATTACATACTACCTTTTAAAATTTGAAATAATAATAATTTCAACTGTGTCATACCTGTCTTATATTGAAAATAATTTGGGCTAATTAAATTTAATAGAAATAAAATAATATTTTAAAATTGTTTCTAAACTAACTCTTCTTAATCATGCAAACACTATTATTTAATTTTTAATTGCAACTAGTTTGTTTATTCAATTGCAAACTACAAATACCTGGTCTAAAACAGCTTCTGGAGACAAACCATCTTTCTGTTTGCATTAATAAAAAAAATCCAAGAACATTTATAAACTCTCAGAGTTAGAAACTTAATATTAGACCACTCACCACTTGTGTGCCCAACAAACTCCTAGCTTTCCTGACGCGATTTTTACAAGCATCTAAATCCAATCTAAAAACATTAATTCAACATTTGTCTTCCAAGAAACATTATAATTTAATACTACCTTTTATTTTCAAGAATACTCTTCTCTTTGCTGATTGTTTTCATTTCTCCTTCAAGGAATTTGGTCAGTGGTTGGGTGTAGGATATAGCAGCAGAGCCAATGAAATCTCTTTCAGTTTGTCCCAATTTCTGTTCACATAAACCCACTTTAATTAAAGCATTTCCATAGGTAGTGCCTGGACCAAAAACGTTTCCAGCCTCTATCATATCCAAACCCAGGTACTCTAGATTGCTTAATCGAGAGGGCCTCTTCTTCTCAATCTTCTGGTAAACAAAATCTTCAATGCGATTGCCAGGATTTGGGATTAAGACAGCCTCTGTATTCCTCAGCAGCTTCTCCGTCCAAGATTTTGTGGTGTCAGCCCTCTCCCACAAGTTCTCAAAATGGGCATCCAGCTCAGTTTTCTCAGAGGTGCCAAGTTTCTCTTCCGTAAGCTTAAAACAATCAGGGTCTAATTGGAATATTGATCAATTATTGGCTATAATCCCATTGTGTCATTTATATAAAGAAAGACAACAAAGGAATCATAACCTTAATGTTGGATTGGATTTACCTGTACGACTCTGCTGATAGCGGCCCCAGCATCCTTAACAATTTTCTTAACGTTGAAATCCATATCAAGAACCTTCGAGATTGTACTATTTACTCCTATTCGCTCTCAAACTGACATTCTATATCGATTGCTTCCTTCTCTTATCGTCTGCAGTTGGCAGAAAGTACGGCTTCGTAGATCGATAATGAATCATAAACAATGCGCTGTGTTTGTTTTCACGCACTTCAGTGGAACGCCTTGAATTATAAATAAATTAAACAAGAGGAATACTTTTACATGAAACAAACCTCGATTTTTTAAAATTATAATACCATAAATTATTTTGTATATTCCAATTTTTACAGCAAACTTACTTATCATTTAATTATAAATAATACAAATGCTCGGACTTCTTTAAAAGAACTTTTATTTAATTCAAATGATATAATCAAGTAATTTAAGAGTAATGTTAATTTCAATAAATATTTTTGTAACCGGAGAAAATTCGGCGCGAGATTAAATTTTGTCAGGATCTGAGCATATTAGCAAAAACGAATATTTCAAAAGAACGAAGTACTTCAATATCAAATTTGCACGATTTTTATCATTGCGTTTTAGTTTCTTTGCTTGTTAAAACGATATAAAATGTCTTTGCTTACGGAGATGATAATTGAAGCCGTTAAAGTTAATCCGATATTATATGATGTAGATCACGAAGAATTCAAAAATATTAAAAAGAAGAATGAAATATGGAACGCAATGGGTAAAGAACTGAAGGAAACTGGTAAGTTACTTAAATAAATCTTTATCATCATTATTGTACATCAATTGATTTACAATTTCTTGAAAAAGACGCTCAAATGTATTGCAGTACAGTAAAACACCGATTATCCGTGGTAATTTGGGAACGTTAAAGCAGGGATAATAAAAAAACTAGAATTTAGTTTAATATCTACGTATGGATATATAAAAACTCATTTTTAATCATTTTAAAAAGTAATATGTAATTTTTTATTGTTTTACTTGTACAATTATTTACTAAATGGAAAATGTGCATACAATTGTATTGTTTAGCTTATAAGTAAACACAAAGACGCCCACGACCACTTTTAATCCCAACCACGGTAAATTGAGACCTGTATAATCGTCGTTTTATTGTTTGCACAGGCTAATTGAAGAGTGTAGAAGTTTAAAGAAAAATAATAATTAATTAAAGTAGTGAAAAGATCCTAAAATACTTTTTTATTGTATTTTAGGAGATACATTAAAGAAGAAATGGAGGAATATAAAAGACACACATGCTAAATATTTAAAAGCAAATAATTGGAATGGTGAAGGAAGTCCAAAAAAAAAATATAAGAATTGGCAATGGGGACCCTTGATGGAATTTTTTAAGCCTTTTCTGGCATCTCGCACATACGACCTCAGTGACACCGCTTGCTCTCAATCAACGCATCAGTCTGACTCTGAACCAGACTCAGATGAGAACGAAAGTGTATTAGTACCTGAAACATGCCAAAATGACGAATGCCAAAGAGGCCGAGAATGCTGTATTGAACAAAAGCAATCGGCGATGCCATCTACCGCAAGTCTAATATTAAGGAATCCGAGGAACCGGAGACAATTTACCAGAACAACGAAAAGAACAATGCTTCCAGTTGATGTTGTAGTCGAATTTCTTAACAAAAAAGAAAAATTAAGTCCTATTCAAATGGTTTTTATGGGATATGCGGGAACTGTAGATAAATTTTCTATGGAAAGACAAATTACAACAAAGATGAAGGTTTCAGAAGTCATAATGCAACAGGAAATGTTGCATACCGCTGAAATAATAATATCAAATAAGAGAAAAGAGAATAATGACAATAGTGAGAGTTCAGAACCATCTGTATCCCGTCAGACTAAATCAATGTAAACAAAGTGTCATTACAACATGCTATACTTTTGCATTTCAAAGGCATATCTTACTTTATAGTTTGTGTTAAGTTAATGAATGTCTCGTATTTTTTAACCTTTATGTTAATATTATAATTTTTAATTATTTCAACTAACAAGTTATGAATTTCGTAATTATTGAACAATTCTTTAATATATATATATTAATTAAAATAAATATTAATTATTTTAAATTAATTAATTAAGAATCGTTCAAATTGTGTTTATGTATAACTGGATTTTTATACGAAACGCACGAAATTTATATCTGTTTGACTTGTAGACAAAAAAAAACGAATATTTGACTGTATGAAATATGACAGTATAATAGTTGCAGATATTACAATTATAAAAAAAAATAAATATTTTTTTTATAATTGTAATGCAACTAAAAATAAAACGAATAAATTTAATTAAATCTTTTGTAGTTATTGGCCTATTACCCAACATGTAAGTTTAATTCTGATTTTCAATCGTTGTGCCACACTAAAAAAAGGATAAATATTTCAATTATTTTCAAAGAAAGTCCAAACAACAATAAGAGCTTAAATGTGCCGTTGTTACATAGGTTCAAAACTCTGTTTTAGACAATGCAAATCTCAGTTGTCCCAACTTTGCTATATCAGGTGTTTTCAAATTTATTTAATTTATGCTTTCATGGCATTAGCAAATAATAAAATAATAGTATTACTCTTTTAATCAATATTTAATACTCTCTTTTACCTGAAAATTGAGAAAAAAATAACGAAATTAACTAAAGTGAATCATTGGATCAAGTAATCACGTCAATGTCAAAAAGATCTAAATCATCCATCACCAATATTTGTATGTCATGTAATGGTCAAATTTAAGTTATTCAAAAAGGGTTTAGAAGGTGTAAAATGTCTTGTAAAAAAAGCCTTCATCACAAAGCCAACGCACAGTATGCCAAGGATAAATGTCTGCAATAAAGAATCTAGGAATAGTGCAAAATCAACAACAGTGAGACGTTCAGTAGATATTATCCATGTATTTAGTTCACCTTTGTAATTTAGGTAGCGAGTGTTTCCAGTGCCGAGGGATTTATACCGTTAGCAGCAAGGGACTCGCAATGGGTGGGCATAGAATTCTATAATCCCAACTTCCGATCACCTCTAGACGAGGACGATGACGCTGAAGAATATGAACTCCAAAATCTTGCAGCCGAAGGCATGGACGCTATATTTCATCTGTTCCCTGGTTTGAATAAACACGACAGCTTACTCAAAGAGCACGATTCCTCTAGTACGACAGCCATCACGAAATTATTGGTTGGGCAGAAGGCGGACTTTAGAAATATGAAGAGTTCTAGGAAATTATTGCCGACTGATGTATCTGATGGAAGATAATTTATTCATTTCATTTCTTATATTTTGATTCCTAATTTTCAGACGAAATTGGATTCGGTCAGGGAAATGCCTCAGGAAGAAAAAAATAATAGTGAAACAGATATATCAATAGGGTCTCGTCCGAAGGGGTCTTCAATCACAGGTATGATAAATATTTGTTAAAGCAAATTAATATTACTTACATTCAGATATGGACGCATACGATGAAGATGAGATTGAACCAGTAAGAGCGACGCACGTGAAGAGGCGCAAAAGGAAGTCCGATATTAGGATGCGCGTCCCGGCCATAGAATCCAGCACTGACGGAAGTAGCACTAGTGTCCAACAGCCGAAGACTAAAATCACGAATGTCAATAAAGAGCATATGCAATTATCAACAAAACCAAGCGTTATGCAGAACACCAGTAGACATTCTTCCACGGCATCAAAACCTAATATCAATAAATAAAAATACATGTTTACTATATTAAAAATGAGAAATAAAAATTGAACTACAATTATTATTATTTTTTATTACAAATGTTAAAGCTACAAACTGCCAAGATATTTATAGACGAGGCAATTGTAGACTTGTCCCGCGTCCATAAATACCACTTGTGCGTTGTTTAATTCACTCAACACGAATTCAAATATTTACAGTTTAAGCTTATCAATTTATATATTTTCTCTTAAATTACAGCCAAAGTGGCAGACATATCAATTAAATCAATACACACTGCAAAATGTATTACAAATACTTGCCCAAAATCAAATTAAACAATCCAATATCTTCTAAATAAACAAAACAAATATCTAATTCATAATATTCAGGAATGTTACAAATTTATATATATATATATGAATATCTCTATATATAATTTCAATCTTTTACAAGTAACAATTAAATGTCTTTTACTTTTTTTAATTTAAATAACATTACATATATATATTTTCTGAAACTATTCTCAAGATTGCACATTCAAAAGGAAAATTTACTAAGTGCAAATAGTATTTATAGGAAGGGGGTTTTATTAATTAAGCGTTGGCAAATCAAATTACACTAAAAGTGCCTTGATTCCCATTTTAGAAGGTATTTGCAGGTAGTAAATTTGGATTACCAGCATTGCAATACGTCAACAAGAGACGGACTTACTTTGAAAGTAAATTCAGTACACACACACAACACTAACTGAAAATTACAAAATCTCTCGTGTCTTGTATCGGCTACAAAATATTCCAGTTAAACAGTAACTAATGTCTATTAATATAATATTATTTCTTTAATTTATAGTCAGTCGCATTTTAAGTACTCTTTACTCGACTAATTTATATATTGATTGCATCCATATATAATATAACTCTTTATTCTGTCAAATATATATATGTATATATCACATTCGAAGAGAATGTTCCTAAAATTTGTATAGCATTTTATATAAAATTACATTATACTTAATGCATCCAAAATGTATTTACAATATTTTATAATTTTAATTTTTCATTTATCCATTATTTACGTAACAAACAAAATAAATTTATTTACGTCGGAAGGTACATTATTAGCAAAGTCACTTAATGTGGGATTCATCTAACCAAAAAGGTTACGAACAAATGGCAAATATCTAAATGTAATAGAGAGTAAAAGAAAGAGAATAGATAGTAAATAAAGTGTTCATAATAATTATTAATTTAAAATAACAATAATAAAAAAAGGTAATAATTATAAACGAGTTAACGTTCTGAACACATTTTTTTAGTTATTGGCTGCTTTAGATTATTGCTTTGGAAAACAAAGAAATTAATAATCAATACAATATCATCAGTTTTCTTTTTTAGCTGCAACGATGAGTATAAAAAAAGTAAAAATTATATATAATTATAATGGAAATATGAACAAACGAAAAATCATTATTTCTACCGTTTCCTCGGCCAGAACGTTCTTAGGATTCTCACTATTGGTGTTGGCAGCGCAAAGTCGAAGTCCTTTTGAAGTAGATGTCATTGGGATTTCATGCTTACTAATTTTCTACTCCGGGCTCGGACCTCTTGTCTCGTGTTGGTGTATTCAAACCAAAGCACATTCGGTATCAGTGTCGTATCTCTTAACAAAAGAAACTCCGATATTTTCCTGAAACCAGAACATAATAATGTCATAGTCAATTATTATAACATATAAATATTTTACATTTTTACATCAATAGAAGTACAGCAATATCTCGCATAGCTCGGCTTCAATCAGTGCGGATTCACTATAATCGTGTAAAACAATATATTTTACCATCTACATGTTTTTATTTCTATATTAACGATCCGCGGAATATTTCTGATTACACGCATGAAAAGGTTGTACTGGTTATTTTTATGCTGTTTGTTTGTAGTCCTCGATTAGTCCAGTTTCAAACAGTGTGGGCGTAACCAATTAATCGCACTATACGAGGTATTGCTTTATTACATCCGTTCATTACGAATAGATAATTATGACTTATATTTGTCATCCACGAATAAATTTACTCATTGTTCTTACTGAATATATTGCACTAAAATAAAGCAATACAAAAAATCATTTAAACAGAGAGCAAACATTTATACTGAGTTGGATTTACACTGTATCAGTAAATTAATGTTAATTGAACGCCCGATTTAATAGCATCCATTCTGTGGGCTACAAAATTCTTTTATGAAAATTGAACATCAAATATGTAATTAGAGCAAGAACAGGAACACTTTTTTGAAGTTTTGACTAAACAGAAGTCTCTGTGACTCAAGTACCAAATGATTCTAAAATATTGATTGATTTTAATAAATCATATATACTTGTTTGATTTAATGATCATACTTTAATATTTAATTAATTCTCTGCTTTAAACCGACTTATAATATAACTAGTTTATATATAACTTAAATTAAAAAGAAATCGAAAAAATAAATATTTTATAACAATTAATAAATACTTATACTTATGTATATCATTATATAATGAAATTATTCATTTTCGTGGATTGTATCCAAAATTCCTTAAACCAAGAGAATATATGGTCTATTTGTAAAAAAAAAATATATTTATTAGAAAGATAAGTATTAAATAAAAGTAATAATAAAATGGTAGATCTGTGGTGTATATATTCAAAATATAATAATACTATAAGATAGAAAATGTTACTTATAAAAATTATAAAAAATGGTTAGTTATTAATTAGGAATAATCAGATTTGTTTGCAAATATATCAATATATTTAAACCTTTATATTTACAATAATAGTATTTACATATACATTGAATGATCGTTTTCGGTATACGTAGGACCAGGACTACTTGCTAATAAACAACCAAATGTTTGAAACGTATATGACATAGATAAAAGTCTTCCAGGTAAATTATAAATGATCCAAGGTTTATGCTCATCATCATCATTATCTATTGTGTTGATCTGCCATGTTTTCACAACTTGGTCCATGCTATAGCTAGATAGCATTTCATCATTGCCACCCCAACACAAGTGAGTGATAATCTCGTTGCCAGCTTTAATTTCAAGGTATTGTTTTCCAGCAATCAAATCCCATATCCTAATGACTTTATCCACTCCAGCCGTTGCCAAATATTTTCCTCCAGGACTGAACTGCGATGTGTAAACGGTTCCCCTCGAATCCAGAAACAATCTAACTGGAGTTGGGTCATTTATGGTCCACATTCTAATATTTCTGTCCGCCGAACCGCTGGCAAAGTACATTGAATTTGGATGGAAACATAGGGACGTTATTTCTTGTGTGTGTGCTGCATACAACCTTAAAGTTTCTGCAGTTTCTGGTGACCATAATCTTACTGAACTGTCATAAGATCCTGTTAAAATGTAACAGCCATTGGGGCTTGAAGCAACTTTATAGACAGGATAATCATGTCCCTTGAAAGTATTAACCAATCTGAATGTCTTCAAATCAAACATCTTCATTGTCTTATCATTGGATGCAGATAATAACATCCTACTATGTCTCATGTATGAGAAGTCATAAACAATATCACCATGTTCATTAAATATAATATCACCAATACTGTCACTAAACTCTAACCTTTTCAAAGGCTGTATGGAACTAACAACAATTTTTGAATCATAATTGTACACATAAAATCCATGCTGCCTATCCATTAATCCACTATTTATGTCATTCTTGGAATTACTCAATTGTAATTTAAAAATACTTTTTGGTCTCTTATCAAGTGCAAGAATAGCATCATTGAGAGTCTTCAATAATTCATGCTTGGATGAATTGTGAGGAGCATATCCATTCATATATTCTTTATGTTCCATGTCAACACCTTCACCTTCTTCAGTCTCTTCTATGTTAATTTCAAACCATGTTTGGAGTATTTGAATCAAGACAACATGCGAATTCTCTGATAGGTACTTTTTTAGCAACTCTGATGATCTTGGAGAGAGATTCACATAATAACGATGACTTCTGAACAGCTTTATTAAATTCACAGCATCCAACGAGTCTGAATTTACTGCATTTATAAGTGATTTAAGTGTATAATCACACTTAAATTTCTCAATTGTTGGAAGATGAAGTTTGAAGAAGTTTATTGGCACATCCTTATCCTTATGTGTTTTATGGTATAACTCTATGTACAGATGGCAAAATAAAGGTGTTACTATGCTATCCAAATCTTGATATTCCTTGGATTTGTTATGTACTTCTTTCAACCATGAAATAAACTTTGAAAAACTGTGGTCTATAATTACTGGATCACTATTATAACAAGTGTATGCAATTGAATTGGCTCTGCCTACTTCACTGTCCACTAACATTAACAATTTCATTTGATTCTCATTGATTTCTTTGGGTTTTATATTCTCTGGATAGTTTCGTTTCTGAAGGTATGTAGCGACTATCTGAGAAATTTGATCGTTTTTTGATTTTTTCACTTTATCTCTGCGAGTTTCCTCCATGATTTTATTTACTTACAAAAAATAATATTATTTACAAAACCAAAACAAATATGACTGACACTCTTAAGTGTGGTTATGTTACACTTGGTTACACTACTGCAGCGCCAGCTGATCTGAACTTAGTAGACTAGTAGATATAGTAGACAGGGTTGTATTCAATCCTATTTAAATAATATTACATGCTTTAGATTCTTAATTCATCATACTTAATAATTAATATTATATGTGTATCAATATGAGTGTTATCAACGTGCAAATTATTTACGAAAGAAAATTATTTTTGTAATTAAATCATTTATAATTCTTGAAAAAATATATAACATTTAGAATAAACTAGTGCTTTTATTTTAAATCATTAACAAAAATGATTAAAATATTATCATTTAATAAGCTACATTTTTGATGTTTTATTTTTTAGAATATATTTTATATTCTATATATCTTATATTCCTTTAAATTTATATATCATTCAATTCTATTGTATGATCAATAATATCTTCATATATAATTATGCAACAAATATGTATATTTGTACCATGATAGATAGCAGTATAAATATAGTATGCCACGTTATTTATATTATTATTTCTGCTAACGTGCTCTATTTGTAGGTATGCAACCAAATATGCTATATAATTGGAAATTACAATTTGATACCAAAGCGTTGATTAATGATTAGAATAATTAAAATTGAACTTACCAAGAGACGACCATTGGAAATAACGGAGTGAATAACATATATGTTAATGTGAACCAGATAGTAGCAAACAGGAACCCTACAAGGGCACCACAAAGTACCTGTGCTACAGTATGGTACTGCAAGTAAATCCGACTAATGCACACAATGACTGCCATGAGTACAGAAGATGAAATTATTAATAATTTGGACATGTTCTCAATTATTGTATTGTTATTCATGTGATGTAACCTGTAATAAATAATTAATGAATACAAAGAAATGCAATGGAAACAAAGGATTTACCTTATAAATACAAAATAAATGACATAGGTTGTAAAAAACCACACAAATTGTGAATGGGATGAAGGCATGCCATATTCATTATAATCTCCAGACCTTGACATCGGCCTAGCACTTTGTATTGTGTTTTTTAAGATGGAATTGACCAGCTCACTAAATATTGTTCCAATGAAGAATGTTATCTAAAACCAGAGTTATACATCAACATATCAATAACATAACCAATTATGTGTAAACTTACAGTGTGCAGATCTCTCCTAAAGAGTATTAGTGTAACAAAGCCTGCAAGAATTCCAAAAGGAGTTAAGCTGACCAAAGCAAAGAATTTGCCAATCCAGTCACCTGTAATGCAAAGTTCATTGATATATGAACAAATTATGTGTTATTAAATTGCATCAATGATTCTTCTAATCTACCTTTTGGATATTCAACTAGCGTTAACGACAATGGAACCCATTCAGTTCTGTCATTTTGCTCCAATGTTTTGGGAAAATAATGAGTATCAGCACCAGACGTGTCCATCTTTCATTTTCCAACTCTTGACTAGCACAGCTCAAAACCACCGAATGGAACACTGCATTTGACACGGCTGTATATAAACACCGTGAAGTCGTTTCATAAACGCTACTACTGTTATGAGTGTTGCCAACGAGTCAACCAATGAATAGCAATGATTAATTGCAATTGATGCAGCCATTACATTATAATTAAATGTACTCAAAAACAAATTTACATTAATGTGCAATAGAAAAAACACATGTATCGTAAATTAATTATGTTTCTGGAAAATTTTTCATACACTTTACAAGCATTTCCAATTCTAAAGTAGTCATTTGTAACTGAAATAAGATAGATCAACTGTTACAAATGGTTACAAAGTTAATTAATTATAAGAAATACATTTTATAATAACTAATGCTCTGAAACAAGAAAATATATCGGAGTTGTTGTGACTGTTGCAATAAACGTTAATTATTCGTTACAATGTTCAAGAAGAACGTTGTTTTCATAGACATGCAATAATAAGCATTTAATATTTTCCGTGTATTAGAACCAGTTCCTTAAATGATCTGCACTTTGAAATGAGATGAAAATTCAAATTCTCAATAACATTTACACTAGCAAAATAAATGCACTTCCATTGTTATGGACATTTTCTTTGTAAATTAGCTCTCAAAAACAAACTAATTATCAATTATTTCACATAGAACTAAGTAAAATATTGAAATAAACTTTTGTGAACATTTTTTTATTTAAATATTTAAATATGGAATTTTATCATGACACAAACTCGTTCCATTTTCATCCTCTTTCGCGAATGATATTTTTGGTGAACGTAGTGTCAGATTGACCAACATTAAGTAGCTAATATCATGAATTATATCATTTCAAAAATATTGAATATATAAGCTTCTGTTCTGAACAGAACATAAATATTTTTTTCTTAACTTAGTGTGTTTACATCCTACACTTCACATTTACGGGCTCAATATGCGCTCGGGTGTACTTTGCATATTTGTAACTTGGAATTTTATTTTAATTATATATTTCTATAGTTTGCTAAATTTCAAGAATTTATAGAAATTGTTTACCAACCATATATGACTGATTATTTTGTCGTGTTATGTCATTGTGGAGTCTTAGAAGGGTTTATGAATATTAAATACAATATTCTTAAATAGTTTTATTATACACGTCAGAGATTTTATTGAGACGTCAACTATACAACAGTTGATCTCATGGATTATTAACTAAGAGTTACATTCTCGTCTTAAGTTAATATTTAAGAAGTAAGTGCTCTTCAAGTAAGATCATGTTCTAACTTCAACCCTCCAACTAAGGCTATCTTCTCAGATTGGCCCCCTAACTAAGACTAAATTATATAATACAAAATATTTTTATTTGTGAGATATTTTGATTTGATATTTATACTGATTTATTCATTTGGTATTTTGATAATTTGTTTAGTTTGTGAAATGTTTTGGTTTGCTATTGTTTTCTTGGATGCAGCGATATTTCAGATTTTATTTAGATATTGTTTTCTTCATATGCTGATGATATTTGACAGATTTGTGATTTTTGATTTATTTGAATTTGTTGTTAGAATTTGAAATTGTTTTGAATTCTATCTGCTTAAGAGACTGTTCTTGCTTTGTTTTACTTGAATTATTTAGATGATGGTGATTGTGCTATTGATGATGGTGGTGCTTGCAGTGCAAGTGGTGCGTTACGACATTCAAGGATATCAAAAGTTTGAGTCATCTTGACAGCTTCATGACTGTCAGGATGGCCGCGTTTGCACGGATATTGTGCTGCGGATCACTCTTATGGTATACTACTGACAGATGCACAATCCTGGACTTCTCGTCACTCGTTAAGCCAGTATTTTTTGTTACATATTATTTTGCTTGTCAAGCAAGGTTCCACTATACTTGATTAGTATAGTGTAGATTAGTATATAGAACTATATTTAGTACTTTCTTAATTTAATTCATATTTACATTTCATGAACTTATGATTTGTTTTTGGCTTAAAAATAGGAAAATCTGTGCATCTGTGGTATTTCGATTGATAAATTCTTTATTATACAATAGCATCTACATTAGTACTATTTTAATAAATCTAACGCAGGCATCTGTAGTTTTTTATGTGATTTTACAAAAAAAAATAAATAAATCAATATAGCAGATGTTACATCTATGGGAATACAAAATTGTATTATTTAGTTTCAGGTAAGAAACAGTGACCTTTCTAGATAAAGGTTTCAACCTTGTTTTTTTAATCAGCCAGTTTGACTAGACAGACTTACTTAGTTTTAGTTAGTTAGATTCAGATTCATTTAACACTATACATTTTATCTCATTATTTATTTAATGTATTTACATTTAATATCTCACACTAAATACAATAATAATTTATTAAAGTTATCTCTGCGCACATGTCCAATGCCTGCCTTTTCAAATAAAGCATCAAAGTTTAATAAAAATATAAATAGTAGAGGTTGGTTGTTTTATAATGTTCGAGACCTTCTTGAAGCGATGCACGTCTTTGTAATCTTTTCTTTGGCAATGTGAAATAACTAAAAAGGTCGCCTTCAAAGAGCAACACCTTGTCGGCATCGACGATGTTGGTAAACTGCTGCAAATAGTTTTCTCAAGCTTTTAATTTGGTATTAGCATGTAGACAATGCAAGCCTTGTAAAAGGTTTCATCCAAAATAGACATTCTGAAGCAGGTGCATGATAAAGACATGGAGAGTCTCATTAAATCAGTTTGACGTTCTTGAAAAATAACATCCCTTTGTTGTTCCAGAACCAAATCCATTTTATGCACTAAGCAGAATATTTTCGCGTTTGGAGAGTTTTGTATGATTACCTACAAACAGGTTTGGAGTAGTGCATGTCTTTCTCTAATTTTGTGCTTTCCAAATCAAACACATATATAGGGACCTCCACATTTAAAAAAATATCTCTTTGGGATGCAAAATAATTTATATTAAAATATATTCAAACAAAACTTATATATTAATAAATAATGTTTTATCTAACATTTTGCATCATTCTAATCCAAGAAATGCATATAAGGTACATTCAAATATAAACTAATTGGAGCAGATTCTTCACTTTCCTCATATAAACAGGCACATCTCGAGATAACGGCCACCCTTGTGAAAATTCTGTAATGCCGCTCTTATCAACAAATATAGTCCTTTTATTATAGTTAATTTTAATTGAGAAACATTTCTTTCAGCACTTGTAACTTAATAACAGTATATTTTCTATTAAATGCATTAGGTTTAAAATTACAATTAAAACTTTTTTTATGACTTTCAATTATTATTTGCCGCCGCTCTCATGCTGTGCCTCAGTTGCCTATGCGTTAGAGCCGGGCAAGCATGTAACTTGTGAAACGTTTATTGTTACTTAATTTTTGTTTAATTGACGCAAACTTTTGACGTACATGAAGCATCATGCGCGAAAGATAACGAAAGACGATCTACGTACAACTTTTTGTTTCACCTTACATATTTGTTTCTTGATTATAACTCTTCAATATAATATATATTGTTATCGTATTAAGATTTTTTATTCTGTAATTTATTGTTGTAATAAATATTATAATTTAATTTATTTACTATTTTTTATTGATACTAATTAGGACTAACGGTCTATCGACTAAAGTCTTCCTGCCTACATATATTTTAATAATGAAGGTACCAAGAGGATCAATTTGACGAACTTTGGCATGCAATTTCTAAAAGACAACATAATCACATCGCTATTATCTTTTATGATTCCTACTGAGACCGGCCGATTGAGAAAGTTTTCTGTTAAAATTAACTAATCTATACAAAAAAGCAGATATTAAAAGGTCCAAAAGACTTATGGTCAATAGCCCTTCGTAGCAGATCAATTTATTTTTTTTTATTTTCTTGTTATATTATGTTATTTTTTTGAGTATGCAGTTTCTTGTAATAAATGTTATTATTAATAATATTAATAAATAATATTAAAAATATATTCTACATGGCAATAAGCAAATCTTCCTGCTTACGTCTTTATATAGAAATCTCATCACAAAAATATTGTAGAATGTACACTTGCAATATTGTTTGAAAATAATACTTTTCTCAAGGATTTTTGGCAGAAATGTTTATTTTCGTTAATCTTTTCATTTTTACTTATATTATTAAAATATTCAATAAGTTCTTGACAATTATATAAAATTACTTGATTTTAATTATTGTACCGGTAGTAAGAAAGTAGTTTCACAAATAGATAGTTTTATGTTTGTATGAAGGAATTCTGTCAACGTTATGATTTTTTTTTCCTTTTCACATTTTCAGCTTATTATAATTGCAAATTTTGTTTATAATTGTCCATCGAATGAAGACTTTCACATGAAAATATATTTAATTTATTTCAGTTATTCCTAAATATATGAAAGTATGTTTACATATTCCTGTTTTTTTTTTAATGTTTTATGATAACCGTGTGTTTTGCATAAGAAGAAACTAATATATTGTATGCTAAATAATATTGTGTTTTTGAAAATGTTTGTAGTCATTAATTTTAATTGATTCATTCTGTCACAATTATACTCTTGATAATACGAAATTTACATACGTCTTCGATTTTTCGATATGCGTACATCAGTAATAAACAGATGGAAAATAGATGTATAAATAAAACAGTAATAACAATTATGTATTTACTTATTTCATCACAAAGAATAAAATTATAAATAGAATGAGTATCATGTCATTTCTTAATCTGAATTACTTACTGTCATTACTTAAAAAAAAAAGTTTATGATGTCACACCAAACGATAACGGGTGAAGTGGAGATACTTTAAAATTTACTTCTTTGACCAAGACGCTGGGAGCCGCACTTTTTATCAAAAGAGCCACGGGTTGCCGATCCTTGATACAATCTATTATAAACTTTATTAATTTCACTAATAAAGATTCTGATAAGAAAAAAAATGTTATTTTTTTTAGATTTTTGATTACACAATGTAATATTCTCAAAATTTTTCCACTTATCAAAAAAAATAACAAGATGACTTTTTTATTCATCTTTTCATACAACTATAATAACAAGGTTGTTCGATAGGAAATGTATTGTAATTATAAAATTATTGAATATTAGTTGGAAAGCAATTATTTTGATTTCCATCATGGATGTTTATGATGACATGAATTTGTTCTCATTTATTAATCTTTATTTTGTTTAAGAAATTTTATTATATTTTTTATTTCTTTTTTATAAGTATGATAGCTTAAATATTACGTAAGTTAGGACAAGGCTGTTAATCACTTGCTAAATTTGTATTAATTATAGTTAATTAGTGAAATTTTTATAGTACGAATGTGTTGCTATATGAAGCATTAAAATTTATATCTTTTATATAATTAATAAATAAAATAACATTTTCACGTTACTTAATATTGTTGTATTCCGGGATGGAATATCTCTGGACACTGTGGAATAATTTGTAGTTTTGTCGGTTGATTTTTATGGAAAAGTCTAGATTAAAGTCGATAAAGTATTTCATAATATTTATTTAACACTTAGATAACTGAGTTATTAATCTAGCTTCCAGTTGCTAATAAGCATATGTTGCTGATCAAAAGTATAACTAGGACTAAATAGGACTAGGATTAACATTTTTTGTAGAAGAGAGGAAACTTAACATAGGGACCACGGGTGGGGTCTTGGTACTGTGGTATTCTTACCGTACTAAAACCTCTCTCCCTCTTCATCAACATCCAGGTTCGGTGTTTAGACATGTTACTGCAGATTGTTTGAGCAAGTTCTTCGCTTCTACATGTATCAGTTTCTTTCCTTTATCTCTCCATCCTCCGCTCGTCATTTTCCTTAATCACCCTGCTACGTAACTTGTGAAGATGTCCCTCTTCTCATGGCTCTTCAGCATTTCGCCAACGAACGTCTCGGACGAACTTTTCCGAGATTTGATTCAGCCTCGCCGTCGCCCATCTGCAGCATCGAAAGAACGTGCGTTCTTCGTCTTCTTCGCAATACCAGCTCTTTTCGTCCTCCTTCCTTGCTATAAAGTGCAGGTTCTTGCTGAAGCACCCGTGCTCGAAAAGCGCTTGGCTCAGATGGAAGGTGGTTTCTGGAAATCCAGGGTCCTATTTATGGGATTAAGCGTCTAGTCCAGACTACCTTCTCTGAGCTGCTGGAATAGTGGCAGGTTTTCCTATCCCTGGCACTTTTGTTACTCACTCCTCTCTGCCTCTCACATCTCTCTCTGGTTACAAGTTCGATTGGTGGCATGTTAGTCCTAACATAAAATAATAAAAGTATTGACATATATGCTAATAGGCTGATTGAAAAGTAAATATTATTGTAAGGGAAGGGGGCTAATTTGCCCTTCGAAATGTTCGTTATCTGTACTTGGGATTATTACTATATCCGCTGTAGATAAAAAATTGTAAAGGGTCATAAATATTACAAATTTCTGGGCTAATTTATCGTGTGAGTGCATAGTTTTTATAGTTAACTGTCATAATCTTCTACTTGCGAAATTGACATTAATGGGTAGTAAAACTAACAAAAACATGAGAAATCCTATCGTTTCTCCAATAAAGTTTTATAGTCCTATTCTGTTCTGATTAATGTTTGACGCCCTTGTGAACTTTCAATAAGAATGTTATTAATAATACATAGTACACATAGTACTTATTACCATAGATATCAATAATTTATTAATAAAGTGGTTGGACACAACAATGTATTACCCAAAATTCCTGCTATACTATAGAGAAAATATGCCAATATCCTTCAAAGCGTGACATTGTTGGATACTTTAAAATTTAAATTATTTTGTGTTGTATTATGTAACTAATTTTTTGCGTGCTATATTCAAGCTATTACTTGTTGCGGGCATAATACACTCAGAAGGAGCATATTCTGAAATTATATAATAGCAATAGACTTACTAATTTGTACTATGCCATATCTAAAAAAAAATGGGTTTAAGAAGATATTCATGAATACTTTAGATCCTTTGTTTTATAATATTCGAGCAATTGTCTTTATTCCATTCAAATATAAAAGAAGATAAAAAATCAACTTTATTAAATAAAAATAACCTTATATAAATATGAAAAATATAAAAAAATCAAATATCAATTTTGTTCAAATGATTATGATAATATAAAAATTCCCGCAAAATATAATGCTATAATTTTGTAAGCTTTCGTTTTAAATTATTAGCTATACACAATTTATTGTCCAGCAGGAATATCATTCAAAGTACTTCTGTCAAAATTTGTTAATACAACTTTGTTTTGTAATAAAAATAAATGAAAATTATGAAATATATTAAAATAATATTTATTATAACAGTCACAAGTAAACAAATAGAATATATTTATATAATAAATAAAATATGATCAACTGTTATTTTCTTAAGAAATCAAAATGACGTTAAACAAGTATAATGCGCAATTTTGGTTGTTTTTACAAAGTAATTATGCGTATTATACTCGACATTTTACTGTTATTATTTCAGTCGCAATTGACAAGATGTTTGCGACAAACATGAACGTTATACGTTGCATCAATTTATTTAAAGTTTTTCGTAAAAGCAGAATAGCAATTTCATATAAATAAAAACAATAATATTATTGTCGTGAATGCGTCAAATTTCAGAGATTTCGATGATTTTCGCGTCTTTAAGAAGAAAAGATTTCTGATGCTTTCAAACAAAATAATGAGCTGTTGATAAAAAGCAAATTCATTCTCGATTTCGTCAGCCAACGCCGATATCTTAGCTTATATAAAAGCGAGCGAACGCTCTACCCACTAATTTAATATTGACTCAGACGCCGCTGAAATAACAAGTGAACCAAACATATTCTTTAGTTGTCGAGAGAAAATAGCAACGATGGTGGACACTCCGAGCATAATCAATGCATTTTTATCAGTGATAAAATACAAGAGCCAAGTGAAATTATCGAAGGTTGCACCTGGCGAAAGAATAATCACGTTGGAAGAAGTTTCCTGGCACGATAAACATAATGACTGTTGGGTGGTTATCTACGATAGGATCTACGATATCACCGATTTCTTAAACGAGGTAATTAATAAATTCAATTCCATTGAAATTAGCTAATTTCGGTTTTTTGTTTGTATAATTAATTTCTGGGTCAGAGTTCAAATTAGATACATTGTAAATTTTGTGTACCCGTACAGTTTTTAATCAATTTCTCGATATACGCAAATGGGAATATTTCAACCAATCTCGATGATTTGGAAATTAATAATCTGACCTTTTTATAGCATCCAGGTGGAAGCGACATCCTTTTAGAGTACGCTGGAAGAGATGCTTCCGTCGCCTTCAGAGGATCAGGACATAGTGCGCAAGCTATTAAATCTCTTGAAGAATATCTAATAGGAGAACTTCCGACAGCCGAGAGGATCTTCAGGAAGCAAAACGGTTACCGGTTAAGTGATATTCCTAATTAGACTACAGCACGATGTATCTAATTTAATCGTTTGAATGTTCCTATATCAATACTTAACCAATTTTTATTCGACCAGTATTTTAAGTTCGTTGTTTATTTTTATGTCTTTTTCATTCTTTACATTTAACATAATTTATTTTAATTTTAGTCACATTTATTTATAATCATATTATATAGTTTTAACGCAACAGTATTATTGCGAATCATTATTAATGTTAAACAATTATAAATTCAAGCTACTTATTTATTATTTGTAGAAATAAATAGACATAAGTCTGTTAAAATTTCCTGTTAAATATTTAACAGTGATCCTACTGTTCGAAAATATTAAATATAATTAATATTATTTATTGTGTCTTTCTTTATCCATTACATCCCAAATTCTTGCAAATTAAACATGTTTAAATAATTAGTCCAAACTAAACTTGTTTTTAAAAAAAAATCTCAAAGAACCTAATCAGCTAAGATAAAGAATAATAATTGTTAATCAGTTATTTTTCAAACGAACAATTATTAATTCAATAAATTCAATTACCTTATAATTTAATCACTAATAAATAATTATCAAACGATTTACATAAGTTGATGATTATATAGAATATTTCAGTACATTCTAATATTACTTTTATGTGCATATTACGTATGACCATACAAAAAAATACCAACATATATAAGGTATACTGTATTTTTTTATATCTTCTTTTTAGATGAAAGTATAGTTTATTAGATTTTTTATATAAGTATGGAAAATGATATCATTTAAATCAGTCCCCAACTTCCGTTACCGGTTTGCAGATCAAATGGTGCCGGTCCGCGGGTCAAATGGACTTTCCAGGGACGAGAGGTTATTTATATTTTTATTATGTTCTGAATCCATTTTTTTTTGCAATTTTTGCATTATTAAGTTGCGTTTTTATAAAAGGCCCAATGTAATTACTATTTCATATTTAGAATCGCAGATTACGCGAGATTAAAAAATTGAGTTTAGTGGTCTGCGAGATTCAATATTTGGAGTTTATTGGTCCGTGGGGTCAAAAAGGTTGGGGGACCGCTGATTTACATGACCCATTTTCTTGTTGACACTTAAAGATTCTTTCTATTGCATTTCTGGCTCCAAATTTGTTTTATGAATATTTTATTTAAGCTGGTTTATTGTGCGTTATTTATTCTGGAAAACCATTCCCACAAAAAGAAGTTCAGGTGTCGTTAAATCGGGAGAATGGGCAGGATAAGCGAAATCTGCATTGTTCGGAATCCCGTGTTAACAATTTTTGGGCCAATTGAATTTCCTATTGTAACATCTTCAAATCAAGTTTCAATATTCGTCTTAGCGATGTTCTGGAGATGCATGAGTAGCTGAGTAGCATGTCGACGAGCAGACACAAATGGATCATCGTTGACACTCTATCATACAGCCAGCACAGTTTCTTCATTGCAAACAGTACGATAAACATTTAATTGTTGTTGATCACATACTGCAACCCGTTCCTAAAAATGGCTGATTAAGTTTCTAATCATGTTTACACTTGGAGCTGTTGAAACATTAAATTGCGGACGGTATTTTTTTGTGCGTTGTAACAATACATTGTCGGGAAATATGAGCCATTATAAAATTTATGAAAATTCTTTATAATCTACAACAAAAAATATTATCCAACTTTTTAAATAATTAGTCGAAAAAGTAAATTCTACTTAATAATATAACTATATTCCATATATTGAAAGTTACTTTCTAGTACTACTAAATTAATAAACTAATAATAATTAGTTTAACAATTTAGTAAAAAAAAAACAAAATTTGAGAATTTATTGTTAATAAATAATCAATCTATCAATTTATAAAATAATAATATTTATTTTAAAAAATAGACAAATAAATATTAAAAAAATTACTTTAATTAACCATTATAATCTGTTGATTGCAATAATGAAGTTGCAAATATACAAAAATAATTTTAGTATCTTCAATAATTTTATGCACGTGTTATCGCAAATTCGCACATATACTTTTTATTTAGCAATAAAACTTTTACATTAAAATAATCCACATAATTATATGCAGTGATATGCATGTCATTTCCCTGCATTCAGACTCGATTATATTTACTTACATAATAATCTTATCACATTCATATTAACATTTTCCACTTATTACAAGTTACATTTTTTGTCGTTTGTAATCTATATATTTTTAATATAATTTATATTAATAATAACATTTGTTGCAACAAATAATCATACTACAAACTCAACAAAATAGCATAATAAGAAAATAAAAACAAACTGTTCTGCTATTTTATTTAATCAAAATCTGAATAAAAAAAAAATGTTGTAAATAAAAAGCGGATCGAATCCTGGTCAAGCCAAGCTCTTTGTGAGTGCTCTCGGTGCTTGCAGCAATAGGGCCATCGTTCATCATGAATGGACAGTCAAATAAAAGAGATTCTGCACAAGGACCTTCAGCCAAGTCGATGGACAATGACAGTGTTAAGGATAGAAGCAGATTCACAGTCAAAGAAAATAGTGGAATCGCAGAGCATCAATATAACTAAAGTTAACCTAAAAGACGGCAGCCAACAAATTACAGAAAAATAGAATGGTAAAAACTTCCATTGGGAAGTTTACCAACTAATAAATGTCTTAGACCATTAGATTTAATTAATGTTTGCATAAATAAGATTGTAAATTAAATATAATATGACATAATAAAAAAATTGCATTAGGATTTGAATTCTTATCAATACTATTAATTTATTATTTTATTGGTAGATTCTTCATCCGTTACTAAGGAATTTACTATAACTGTAATTAATTTAGAATTAACAAATCAGAGCGGTAATTTTTGTCTGTTATCATTACTTTATTAGTATATTTGTAAAGCAATAATTCGTATAGTGCAGGACAGCTTTGATCATTTCGGATTCACTATAGCATGGTTTCCCAAACTTGGAATGAAACAATAACTAAGTAAATAATGAATGTTTTTCTTATTTTTTTATATATTTTATTAATTATGTGTGCAAAGTAATCAAATTGTTCGGTGAAAATTTCAGGGGTTTACGAAGTACATTCAGGAACTATTTGGAAATCACTGCACTATAGGATGGCTTAAAAATTTCAAGCCAAAGTAAATTTAAACTGAGCAAAATAAAGTCTAAAAAGTTATTTTTCACTCTATACAGTCAAGTCTTTTTTATACTATTTATTTTTATGCAGTTTTTAAAATACTCGATTAGTCCGATTTCAAACAGTCCGGGATATTGGCAAAACCGCTATATTCATCTTCTGTAATATTTATTACTATACTATATATTTAATAATTGAATTTTGTAATTAAGCTAATCAATAAAACTTCTTTTTATCTAGAGGAAGTTCCTTACATCAGAAATGTATCGACCAATAATCTATTTGAAATATTATGTTTGACCTTGACACGTGCAATATTACTATTATTATTTTTTAAATGAAATTTAATTACTTTTGTAAGTGCATATCAGAATTTGTATGTTATCATCCAATATTCGCTCATAGGACAGTTAATTAACACATAATATTAACCACATAATTTACAGATAAAGAGTTGATAGTAAAAGTCACTCGTCAACAAACTTATTTGACTGTCAATCGCTTCAAAAGTTTATTTCCTTATTTATTGACCCCAAGTAAATTCCAAGCGTAATGATGATGATTTAAATAAGTGTAGTTTGGATGATAAATTTAAATGAATCATCCGAGCTTGAAAAATAAGTACGCCAAGAAGAAAAATGAGTTTTAACTCTTATTTTCAATTTACCAAATCGACTCTTAAAAATATTATAAGGTTCAAGTGGTTGAATTCCTGCAGTTCTGTTTTGTTAATTATTAGAGAAATTGTGGTTAACGTAATCAAAGTGATCATTATGAATTATCAGATTTTAGAATTTACGTAATATGATGATAATGATATGTAAATCTTATCCCGTTAGTGCTAGTAAACTAGTTATAGTATATTTATTTTTATTGAAGGAGATAATTGGTTAACAACAGCAGTGTCTTATGATTAGATTTATGACTGCATGACAATATAATATATCTATTATATCTAATATAATTAAAAAATCTCTTTCGTAAATTTTGTCTAAATGTCACTTATTAATTACTTTTTATTTAATTTATAGAAAACTTGCTTATATTCAATTATTGTTAAATGCGTAGATCTGATGCAATCAAAATCTCCATATAAACACATTTTTAATTGAAGAAAATTAAATTAAATTCTCAAAAATTCTCAAATTATTATATATTCTAATCGACCTAAGTTTATGATGATCAAGTCAAAGTGATAAATGAATAGGATAGTCATAAGGATTGAGAAATTGTATATTTCCATGAGTTGAAAAAGATTCACTTAGCACAACGAATCAATATTTGCAATAACAGTTTCAAACGCAATGAAATCAACACTTTTTTCAAAAACAATTAATCTCAACAATGCATCAATCAAAAATGATCATAATCCAAGCGTGTTGAACCAGCACAAACCACACCAAAAGCATTGCATTAACAATGATTATGCTATCAATTTTGTAGGATTATAAAGGTGTTGTGTATTTCAAGCTGCATCCAAGTAACTAAACAATCTTTTCATATATTTACTGTCAACAACTAATGAAACTGGAGGAAGCAATTAAAGAAAATAGCCAGAATTGGCAAAACGTATTTCACCAAAACAATGAAAATCCTCACATATCTTTGGTAACGACCATGATCTTGTACCATCAGATTACCTTTTATTTCAAAATTTGTAGCACTTTTTAAAGTGTAAAACTCTTACTAATTTCGATGTCTTAAAATCACGCTTGGTTCAGTTTCTTGCTGATAAGGACCAGCAGTTTTATGAGCGCGGAATTAAGAACTTGCCAAAAAGATGTCAAAAGGTCATCGGACAAAATGGAAAATATTTAATTGATTACAGTTTATTCATTGTATACAAAGATAAAGTTTTATTTCAAACCAGAAATCCGAATGTTCTTACTTGGTGACCCAATATTATGTTGTTTAATTCATTTTTTTTAATAATTAATATTAATAATAGTATTACTTTTACAAAGATACTGTATTTTAATTAGTAAATCTTGTTATTCTAACATTTTATCAAATTACATTTACAATTGAACGATAAAAATGCGATAATTGTATAAGAAATTGTACTTTAATGCAAATAGTTCAATAGACAATTATTCAGAAAATGA